TCCTTCAGAGGGAAAAATAGTTGATACCTTTCGTACAAGATACCGTCAACCACATTAGGACTATGCGTCCGGTATCTATAACAACCGTCCATATTTGTTCCATGATATATTTATGAATATTTTTCTCTTCCTTTAAAAGCATATTAAGTCTACGACGACTATTGTTAAATTTTATAACCCAGATATTTTTTTTTTATTAAGAGTTTGATTTCGAAAATATGCTGGACTTCATCTTAACAATTATGACACAGGAGAGGATAGGCGACATGCCATGGCTCCTTGGTAAATTAGGGAGCTAAAATATTTTCTCAGATATAAAAGTTGGACCTTGTTCTGTGCTGAAGCCAGATCATTAGCTAAGACTGAATTCGTCTCCCGAAAATGTATCATCATCGAAGAGTCGAATGTTCTGTAGTCTCTTTGGATTGCCCTTCCCCCAACAAACTGCACAAATCGCTAGATTTGGTTATTTTCCTCTTCCTAGTTGCTGACCTTGTGTTCGATCTGTTATGAGATAGTGACACTTAAATAACGACTGTCCTGCTTTTTGAACGTACAGCCTTATAAATATAATGTGTGGGGGAGTTTTCCTGTTGAAATATATCGTTTTTTTTTTGAGGGTCTAAAATTTTTAGATTTATCACTTGAAATTCTTTTGTGAAATCTACTTCTACGATAACGAGACCGAGAACGTCATTTATAAAGGAATCCCTTTCACACGGAGAAGGGCATTCACTAAAATTAAAAAATTTTGTATCATTGAGACAACAACACTTCGGTTATTATAATATTATCTCGATAGCGAGCTCTGGAATATCTTAAAAAAGGAATCCCTCTCACACGGAGTAGAGGATTATCTAAAAGTACTAACCTTTGTCTCGCTATGAAAAGAACACTGGGAGAAGAACAGTCCGTGTTTATACAATATTCCTCATCCCTTTGTTTTCTCCTTTCCTCTAATCCCCACATTTCGGGATGTACTTCTATTTATTTCCATCCAATATTCGTCTAAAAATAAATATTCTAAAAGACTTACATGTAATACGTGTAATTAATTTTTCGATAAGGCTATCGATAACGTATAAAAGAAATCCCTCCCACACGGAGATGGGCATTCTCTAAAAGTACGAAATTTTGTCTCACTGGGAGATACAAATATTTGGCACCTAAATATATAAATAATATTCCCTTGAGAGTGAGATCTAAAATCTCATAAAAAAAGAAATCCATTCCAGAGATAGGCATTTTCTAAAAGTACAAAATTTTGTTTCATACCTTATTTCATTGCTGGGAGATAAAACACTTCGGCATTTATAGTACTCTGTTGATTGCGAGATCTAGAATCTCATATAATAGGAATCCCTCTCACGAAGAGAAGGGCATTCTCTGTAAGTACGAAACTTTGTCTCACGGAGAGGACAACAGTTCGATATATATATGTTATTCTCATTTTTTCTTTTTGTCTAATTCCATTGTTTCCTCCTTGCCTCTAATTTCCATATTTCGAAATTTGCTTTTACTTTAATTATTTCCATTCATTATTTAATTTCCTAAAAATAAGTATTATAAGATACTCACCGGTAATACGTGTAATTAATATCTCGATAGGGGATATCAACAATGACTTATAAAAGGAATCCCTCACACGGAGACGGCCATTCTCGAAAAATGAGAAATTTGACTCCCTGGGTGATACAACACTTCGGCACAACTTCGGTATTTATAATATTCTCTTGATAGAGAGATTTAGAACCTCATACAATAGGAATCCCCCTCACGAGGAGAAGGGCATTCTCTATAAATAGGAAACTTTGCGTCACTGGGAAAACAACAGTTCGATATTTATAATATTATTTGATAGCCAGATTTCTAACCTCATATAATAGGAATCCCTTTCACGAGGAGAAGGGCATTCTCTAAATAGGAAACTTTGTCTCACTGGGAGCACAACAGTTCGATATATACGATATTCTTATTGCTTTCTCCATTTGTCTACTTCCATTGTCTCCTCCTTGCCTCTAATTTCTACATTTAGAGATTTGCTTCCACTTCAATTATTTCCCTCCATTATTTAATTACCTGAAAATAAATATTATAAGATACTTACCTGTGATACCTGTAATTTATCTCTCGATAGTGGGATATCAATATTGACTTATAAAAGGAATCTCTCTCATATGGCCATCCTCTAAAAGTACGAAATTTGACTCACTCGGAGATGCAACACTTTGGCATTTATAATATTCTCTTGACTGCGAGATATAGAACCTTATATAAATGAGAATTCCTCTTACAAGGAGAAGGACATTCTTTACACGTACGAACTTTGTCTCACTGAGAGTACAACAGTCCGATATATATAATATTCTTATTGTTTTCTTCTTTTATCTAATTCTAATATTCCGTTATTTACGTCCACTTCGTTTTTCTCTAAAAATAAATATTATACAATACTTACATATTGTTCCTTGTGTTCTACCTAGCTGTAGAACACCGTATATTACATAGTAATATCCAAAATGAGTAGAGAATAAACAAAATGGCTTCATCGATCTACGACGAAGAAATCGGAGAGCTACGATCCGCACTGCACCGTGCACGAAAGACGAATGAATACCGACCGCCGCGCCAGGGCCGGCGCGGCCACCTAGACTGGTAGCGGGAGGGAATTTAGCTTATAGCTTTAAAATTGTGCACGCAGGGACGGTACTACGTATAGAAAAATCAAGATAATACATTCGGACTGGACGCGAATATAATTATATTATATTTATAACACACAAGTAACCACAAAACTACAACGTAAAAAATTTATACTCAAATAAACTAAATTTCGTAAAATAAATGGCAAATAATAATGATTTTGTTACACACACCACTGGGACTAGCAGTAGATTGTGTTTGTCGCCAAACATAGGCCCCGGCCCGTTCAACGATGGATCCGAGCATATCTGTATCTTCGTCTCTTCAACGCTAACCGCTCCGATCTGGCCTATCTCTTTCTCACAGGATTGGTTGTTGAACGGGCCGGAAATCCACGAACTTGCGACGTTACTAATTGACATCTTGATAGAAACTGCAGACCTGTCGCTGCTCTTGCATTTTTTGCATCTCAGTCTTATTTGCGATTTTACCGTTTGAAGCGTTTTTTGCGATTTGTGTCCATTAACAACACGCAAAAGAAGCGGCAGGTCTGCCGTTTCTATGAATATGTCATTTAGTAACGCAAGCTCGTGGATCCCCGGGCCGTTCAACAGTCAGTCCTGTGAGGAAGAGATAGGCGAAATCGGCGCGGTTAGTGTTGAAGAGACGAAGATAAAGATATGCTAGAATTGAATTGTGGACGGGCTGGGGCGTTATATTTGGCGACAAACACAATCTACTGCTAGTGCCAGTGGTGTGTGTAAAATAATTATTGTTATTTACCATTTATTTTGCGAATTTTAGTTTATTTGTGTATAGTTTTTTTATGTTGTAGTTTTGTGGTTACTTGTTATAATTATAATATAATAAATTATTATAATTATGTTATAATAGAGTAGTAAATATTACTGGTTGCTAATGCAATTTTAGGATATGACTTATGAAACTTTTTGAAGTGAAACTTTTTTACGCGCGCTGGGAGTAAAACTTCAAAGCTGTGACACACGAGCTAGAGAGACGGCCCTGACACACGAGCTAGTTGTAACGAAATGTGTTAACGGCTTAGAAATACGTAGTGACGCGCCACACGTAGTCCACGTGTAATATTTATTAAAATATTGATATTTTAATACAAATTTTGTAAAAGTAAATCAAATTATTACATGTAAAAAACCATTCGTTACACGTAAAAAACTACTTGTTACACGTAAAAACCTATTTTTATTATTTTTTTATTATACGCGAATAAAACTTTTGCACGTAAAAAGCTATTTTTTAGGCATATAAAACTATTTGTTACTGATAGAAAACTATTTTTGACGCGGGTAAAATAATTTGTTACTGGTAGAAAACTATTTTTTACGCGTATAAAACTATTTGTTACTGGTAGAAAACCATTTTTTACGCTAAAAGAACTATTTTTTACGTGCAAAAATCTATTTGTTACACGTAAAAAATACTTTTTACGCGTGAAAAGCTTATTGTTTCTGGTAAAAAACCTTTTTTACGCCAAAAGAAATATTTTTACGTGTAAAAATCTATTTGTTACACGTAAAAACTAATTTTTACGCATCAAAGACTTAATATATCTGGTAAAAAAACTTTTTTAGGCAACAAAAAAAATGTTTTTTACGTGTAAAAATCTATTTGTTACACGTAAAAAACTAATTTTTACGCTTCAAAACCTTACTGTATCTGGTAAAAAAAGTTTTTTAGGCAACAAAAATAAAATTTTTAGGTGTAAAAAAATTTTTGTTACACGTAAAAAACATTTTTTACTAGCAAACCACTACTCGCTACAGGTAAAAAAATATTTTTTACGCAAAAAAAATATTTTTTATGAATAAAAAACTATTTTTTGCACCTAGAAAACTATTTTTTACACGTATAAAACTATTTGTTACCCGTAAAAATCTATTTGTTACGCGTAAAGAACTATTTGTTAAGAATTAAAAAATATTCCTTTAATTTAATATTTTTTCAAACATTTCCTTCAAATTTTTGAATTTAATAGAATCTTCCTAAACAGTAGATATTCTCTATAAGAATATTTTTAGATAATAGGTACCCTAAAATGTAAAAATATGCATACTATTTGATTCATTTTTATTGTATTATTAAATATTACGTCCGCCTATGACGGAGTGTCATCTATGAAATCGCTAAAGACGCTACAGAAAACAAATTGATTTGTTTTCATTTGCGTTTTTTGCGAGACACGCCGAACGCTAGACGCTTTTGGTCGGGCCATTAATATCTTCCTATTTTAGTTGCAAAAGACGCTTCACGCTGAAAACGCAAAAAACGCTTTCTGTGTGGCCGTGGGCTAATGTTAACTAACCCGCGCATTTTTGCAGTATATGGATCTGAAGCATATAAAGGACGAAAATGGTACTTTATTAGAATTTACCAATAGGGATTTGCAAGAGATTAATGGAAGAACAATTAATTTGCAAAAATCGTAACAATGTGTGACACTGAATAGGATAAGTGATAAAATTAATATTTTCTAACAACTTATTATTTACCAGCAGTATAGCAATACAATTGAAGTATATGAAGAATTCTGCACAAAAATATATGAATTTAACGATTCTGAATATTAATAAAACTACCTGTCAAATAATTTTCCGTGTTTTTCTAGTAAATTTACAATATAATAAATTCTTTATATAAAACTCCTTATTTGGAGATCTAGTCGATCTATTAATTTTAAGGTTGCCTCTGTAGGAGTTCTTGGGAGATGGACTGCCAAGTAGTGAGGGAAATACCAGTTCCACATTAGTCGCGTTACAATAGCGACCGTTCCAGAGTGTAACAGTCAAATTTCCTCGCAACGACCTCTGTGTGCTAGCTCATAAATTATCGCAAATAACTATTATTTTTGCATCATGTTTACTATAATTTTATTGTTAAATATTATTTTATTTAAATTTTACGATTATGCAACCCGATATACACAGCTTCAGCTCCACAATATCGTCACTGGCCCAGCATTAGAATTTTTGTCGACCTCTCTTTATCTTTGGTCATCACTTGTCACTTGTCACTGTCAGATCAAGCCAGATGTTTTTGGATTTATTTATCCTTTGTTTGGTTATTGAAATTTTATAATTATCAGATAAAATTTCGTAGTTAAATTGGTTATTTTTGATGTGGATCGCAGTGTGCAATTCGTTCATTAATTGTGGGAATTTGTGAGTTAAGTTCGTTCATTGACCGGATATGAAATATGACAATGGAAAATATTCTAGAACGTCATTTTTTATTTATGCCTTTTTGTGAGTTGGACTAGTCAAGATATATAGTTCTCTATCTATATGCTGGAGGGAGATTTCCGGTTGAAATCTGATTTTGTGAAGGAAATCGAATCCTTGCATCATTTCTTGTGTACCCAGTGTACCCACCGTCCGAATGTCGTGGTGAAGAACTGGCTGCCGTTTCGTGAAGCATTCCCTGTTGGTGAATAGCAGGTCTTCGTAAAGAAGGATTAAGGCTTCCGAAACACATTTGGTCAGAGACATGGTTGGATTTTGATGATTTTTATGGACCGCCGACCAATTTCCGCAATGGGATTAAAATAGCCAAATTTTCCGACCGATATTCCGATTCCACGTGCCCAAGAAGTCCCCGAATAGTTCCAAGGTATGCTATAATTCTTCTGCCTATTCAGTCAATGCTCAACTGATTTTTGTTCATATTGTTGACTGGTTTTCGACTTTTCCACGCCCACGTGGTGTAGAAAGATTAGTTGAGTGTTATCTTTCTTAAGTCTTATTTGGTTGTTCGTAATTGTAGAGCAAGGAGACCGATCCAGACCGTAGCACAGAACAGTCCAGAATTCCATTCGTTCCTGTTGTCCGTGTAGAGGTACCCGTTGGACATCATAAACCCTCGTTGAGGTAAAGTTCAGATTTGATTAGTCCTTCTTTATTACCTTTATTACGTTGTGCTAGTCCTTGTTCTATAATTGAGGCTCTTTTCTAAGACAACCAATATTATTTAGGGTTTTTTATGTTCACCATTTGAAACCTCAACAACTTGCCTTTCATCTGTACGTCTGCTGACATCCGTGGGCTCCAGTGACAGTACACCGAGCTGCTGTAGCCACCCCATATGTGCCATAGCTATACACCGTAGCTCAGCCAGAGGAACTTCCGAATTGTTTCAAGATTGTACATCGATTAGAGTAAGACTGTATAATTTTAGTTTAGATTTAGTTTGATATTTGTAATCTACCCAGGATATTGTACTTAGTTTAAGTAAGGGGGATTATGACGTCATACTTTTAGTTAGTTTTCTTGATTTAAATTTTATTCTACTTCTCAACGTTTATTCATTTCCATTTCTTTAAATATTAACTTTTAATATTTTAATAAAATGCTTAAACATTTTTAGTAGTATTATTTGCAGTCTAGTCTCATAGTTAAGTTAGAGTCACTTAAGTTTAAATAATTATAGTAACATTTGAAGTTCATGGTAGTTACACTCAACAGTTCGAGGTTAGTGTTGAAGTCTACTTAATAGTTACATCTTTATTGTCGAGTTCATAGAGTATAATCTCGTGGCGCCCTTTTATTAATATCTTTGAACCCCGACCACCCGGCTGTTAAAATTAAAAAGCTAGTGGCCTCTATGCAATTCATTCAGATTAAGTAAACTTTGTGTTTTATTGAACTTCAAATTAGAAAGGGCGTGGCAAGAGAAATACCGCGACAAAATACCGCGATTTTGTAACTGAAGCTTCGGCTTCCAAAGTGTTGCTGTTCCCCCCTATGCGGTATTTCTGATCACTGTACCAACCTAATCTTCTCCCTGCCGTTATATCTGTGTCCATGCAAATTCATAAACAATAACAATTCATAAACCGCCCAAATTTATAAACAATAAACAACACGCAGATGGCTAGAAGAATTTAGCTATTTTATCTTTTAATTTCGAAAATAAAACTATCAAATAAAAAATATAAAATAATATAATTTATTGCTATTTATTACTTTTTATTTGCTATCGTTTCTTCAGATTGAAAAATAGCTTTTTATAGGTTTTATATTTCTGCCAATAACATTTAAATTTATATTACAGTACTACTGTATTGTAGCGTTTTTATTTCTTTTCTAAAAAATTAAATTTAAATATTTAGATTTTCAATATTTATTCTAACGCCATCTATTCACTACATGTCGAACTTACCAAACTTCATATCATATTACAGTTCACTTTTCTCGGTCGTTTGTTATGACACAAATTAACTATAAAGGATTTTAGATAAGCCGATTTCAAGTAATTTAAGAAAAACTTAATCTACTTTTAAATTAAAACTGAACAGGTAACAATGCAAAACCAGGCAAATGCCAACGTACCTTAAGTTGTCATCCTATAATTTTGTTAATATCAAATTATATTTTCAAATCGCTAGGCTTTTGCCTCATTCAAACCAGTTTTAAATTACAAAAATGCATTCCGGGGACACTATCCGTAGATACTATAATGTAGTAGTGCAGACAGCACAAAATATTACATTTGACAATGATAAAATCGTAGGTTGACATGGTATATTGACATTTGACTGGTTTTGCATTGTTACCTGTTCAGTTTAAATTTAGAAATAGATGCAGTTTTTTTTAAAGTACTTAAAATCGGCTTGTCCAAAATTGTTAAAATTTGGCAAATGTTAAAAAACCTATTTACGACTTAGCTGTAAAATTAATAGGGAAGCCAATGAATGTTTGGACGGTTCTTTGATAAGAACGATGTGTTTCAGATTAAAATGATGTAATTTTTAAAACAGTAAAAAGTTTTTATTCAGATTTAAAGTTTAAAATTTAAAAATACAAGTGTTATGTAGTGCGTATATACTTTATTGATCATAAATAACTTATAATATTTATGTGAAGTTATTTTATAATCGTGTTACAATTTACCAGTTTATTTTAACTATTTACTATCCTAGTTGAATTATTTTCTACGAAATTGGTAGAAAAAATTTACAGTTCCATATAAAAATCTTGCATACTAAAACAAAAATGAATTTTAGAAATATAACTATGAAAATAATCGAAGAAGAATAAATGTTTTATCCAATAAGCTAGATATATTGGTTATGATATAGATTGATATGATACAATTATTGTTAATGTATTTACCCCAAGGAGGCCTGCTTTATTTATTGGGGAATTAATGCCAGCATACAGATTTTTATTTTTTTGGGCTTTTCCTAAAATTATCATATATAATTTTCTATTCTGAGTATTCCAATTATACCATGGAAGATTAAATAATACTGTATAGAATTCTTCAAATTAAAAAAAAATATATTGTCACAGTTTGATCAGTGGGGGCTTAACCATGAGGTCAAATGGTCAATGCCCCCCCCCCCCGCACGAAAAAAAATCAGGAGAAAATTAGAAAAACTTATTTAAATTATACTTTTTGTAAATCACTTATTTTCATCCTAAAATATTCAAAACTATTCCCAATTTATCCAATTTTCGCTAGAAAACATTTTATTTTACCCATTTTCTCTACTGCCGGTCAAAGTTTCATTTTGTCCTTTGTTCCCGCTATGTTTTACACGTATTATAAACTCCAAGTGTCGCGGGTCGTGACGCCAACAAGGTAAGGTGTACTACGTATAGAAAATATAATGGGTTAATTGGCCATTAACCGCGTCATTCATAGAAGGATTTCTAAGGCAGTCAACTTTATATACACTTGTATTTGGTAGTTTACTGACAGACGATATAAAAAGTGGCGGTTTTTGTCTTTGTCTAGAAACCAGCGTGTTATTATTGTAGTTTGTAATATTGTTTATTAGTTGAGAATCAATATATTTGATTAAGAAATATCGGGTGTGTCCATACAGTGAATACAGGGTGTCCCAGAAATAAGTGCAAGTATTTTATGGGCTGGTAGATCTCGATAAAAGAAACATATTTTCTCTTTATCGTTTTTCACATAAGTCCAAAATAACCGAATTATTTTACTTTGAAAATTTCCAAAAAAAAATATGTTTTTGCTAAAATTTTGAGAACCACTAGATCTTTTCTGGATTTTCTTTCTTGTAAATTTAATCTAATACTTACGTTGCCACATTATCAAGAAATTATGTTTTTTTACTAAAAACTAAAAAAAATTTTAGTTTTTAGTAACCAAACCAAACCAAACCAAACCAAAAATTTTTTCAAAAAATTTCGTTTCGCGAAAAAAACCTCATAGGCGTGTTCTGGGGTTGAACTATACTACTAGTTAAAATATTTGCACTTATTTCTGGGACACCCTGTATAAATATATTACAGGATTTCAGTCATATCGCTGGAAAAATTTCGTCGTTCGGACAGTTTGGGTGTTTATAAGAACTCAAATTATAAAACAATAACCTAGGTTTTTGTATCGTTTATCGCGTATTGCGTATAAAGGACGGTCCACATTTGCTATATAACACTGCTGTATAGCAAAGTTATATAACATGTTACATGTTTTTAGTCATATTTAGCAAATTTCGCTGCTATATAATTAATAATGTTTTTAAAAGACAGAAACACACCACGAGAACAGCCGAGGAAGGTACTGAAAAGGTAAGCTAATCGAGTTCAACTATATCTAGATCTTGCGGACTCAAAACCG